TGAATAAATTGCAGTATTAAATCGCGGATCTGTATCGCTGGCATTACAAGCGTTATTACACTGCATGTCTACTGTAATTGAATATACCTATGGCTGAGGATTTTCAATTTCAAATCCAAATGAGAGACGGGACGGGATTGGTCTGGAGGGAGGTTGATTGAGTAATTTTATATTTTTTTTTTTCTTGGTTTTGTTTTAAGATGAATTGATAATCTTCTGACTGCAGAGTCTAATCTGTTAATCAATTGAATAGCAATTTTTGCAGAATATTCTCCCGTTTTAGGGGAAACTCTAGTTTGTCCTTCTGGAGAGCCCCAGATGTCCTGGAAGAGACATCACCCGACCCTTGCAGCATCTATAACAACTGGGCGTTGATCGGGTCGGCTATCCTTAGGGGTTGATGATGGGTGATCACTGATTTTGGAATTGTTGATCACCACATATCAGTTTTCTATGCAAGTGGATGGTGACCTTTCCCTTTCCTCTGGAGAAGATGGAAGTGTTAGCCACAGCTTTACTTCTGAGGAAGGATGGCAAGTCTCACAGGAGGATCCCTGCAGGGTTGAAGATGGACTGAAGTCCCTGCAGCTGTCCTTCTCACGGAGATGTCTGGCTTACTATGTGTGGAATGTAGAAAACTGAGCAATCAGCAAAGGAAGTCAAAGCAATGCTGATTTAATTGGCCCCTGATGGTTGATATGTATCAGTGTCTTAGAAGTCAGACTTGATGGTGCTTGCTATGCTCCCCATTCACCAGAACCCTCCACAAAGCATCCTAATTTCGTTTAGTGCTTATACACTAACATTTTTTTCCCCTTTCTGTGGCAAAATGGCAGTGATCCTGATCAGAGTGGAGTATTTGTCAAGTATACAATGTTTTTTAAAATGTTGGTTGGCACAAAAGTGATATGTCAATTGCAGCTGGAGTCTGAAGGACCCATTGGTGAGATCTTCCACCATAGTTCTGTGCTGTGTTCTCAACAACATAGGAGTGTTCCTCTGCCTCTTGTTAAATGATCAAATGGCCTTGAAGTACGCTGATTGGCCTCTGGCCTTTTTCTATAAGACAGCAGCTGTCTGTTGACAACATTCCTAGATTTAAGTGAACATTTCGGAAGTGCTTTCAGAAAAAAACATTGATGCAGAGTAAGCTTTCTCAACCTTTTTACTGTGGAGGAACCCTTGCCAAAAAGATTGAGATCTCATTAATTGGGAGCAGGGCTCATTACATGGCACACATCAGGGCACATTATGGGGCACACTATATGGACACATTACATGAGGCACAAAGCACAAGCATGGCATATTACAGGGCCGGTTTCATATGCAAAGCATGGCAGGGAAGCAGCTAGGATCTTTCCTCTTGTGGGGCGCTATTCCCCGCTGGCCCCTCCTCTGTTCTTGTCCATCCCAGGTGATGTCACATACAAGCACCTTGATGGACAGGAGGCAACAACAGGGAACAGTGGAGAACCCTTGTTTGCCGATACTGTTCTGCATGTGGGGGTTGCGATCTTCCCATCAGTTGCCTGTGACTGATGAGTAGATTGCGACGGAACCCCTGGGGACCCCAATTGAGAAACTATGATGTAGATGTAGATCTCGAAACAAAGATGGCAGATTTTATCATGGTGGAGTTAGGCGCATAGGAGTATTGTAGCCAGTTTTTGTCATGATACATGTGGATTCCATCATGCTCCCTGTGTTTAAAGCTACGCTTTATTTTCAGAGATGAAAATAACCGGCAACTTCTAGTAGGCACAGTGCATTATTTTTGGCAGAAGAAGGCTGGACAAGGATGTTTCCTTCCTTTTTTGTCACTCCAATTTCACCACTTTTAATTTAGCATAAACATCACAAAATCAGTTTTGAATGTTTTTATATACTGGACGTAATTCAGCATCAAACAGGACAAAATGCATCAATTTCACCAATCCTAATAACTGGCTCCTTCAATATTGGTGACTGTGACGCAGCACAATGATCAGCGATAGCGACATATCCAGCTCTCTCGCTCTGTCCTTTGGCTCTCGGCTGACATTTTCCAGCTTGCTTCACTGCTGCAGATTTTCCGCGTTTTTGTTGCGCTTATTATCTCAAACAAAGCGATCAATTACCATGAATGATGCTGAAAACATTCACCGTGTCTGTCCATCTGTCTGTCCGCGGTGGAATATTCCTGGCAGGGAAGTGCATTATGCAGCCTCTGTGCTGAGAGGATATAATTATACTGAATATTCTCCACATTAAATGCCTCTTATTGTCCATTATCTGCCCATTATTCAGTGGAAATGAGAGCTCCCAGTAAAGTCCTTGATCTTCATACTTTACTTAAAACTAATAAAGAGAGAAAAAAATCACGTACGTGCAGAATTTAGAAAGTCCATTTGTGTGCAGCATACAGACATTTGTGTGCTGGCAGTGCCCTCTGCTGGAGGAGACTCATCCCAACCATCCCACAGTACTGCCCTGTGTGGCATTATGGGCGCACGTATTCTGGCACAAAGTACATCAGCTTGTAGAATTAGCTGTAGGAGTCATTAGCACATCACATTTCAAATATACATAACAGTAGGTACATTTGTTTTAAGTGCTATGATGTACACCTCCATTCAGCAGTTTGGATGCACTTGAAGGGGAAATAAACTTTTAAAGCCCAACTACGGGAAATGTAAAAATCATCCCCTGCAGTGGGGCTGCAAGAGTTTACTGCTTGTTTAGTCTACGGCAGATTTTTTGCGATTTAACTTACCTGATCCTTTGCTCCCCTGGCAGATGATACTCCTCCACGCTAGTTTTGGTAAGTATCTGCTCCCACTTCCAGTGGGATCACCTCAGCGATTCCACCAGACATTTGGAACCCCCCTCCCGCCCGCAATCTTCTGGGACACATCCCAGGTTTCAGAAGGCTGTGAGACCATACACACAGTGCAGCTCGTGCATGTGCGCAATGGGAAGAAGGCTGTGAAGCCACAAGGAGTCTGCTTCCCACACTAAACATCGGAACCCAAAGACCAGTGAAGAACCATCTCAGGTGAGGACGGTGCTGGATCCCTGGACAGGTAAGTGCCTTTTTTTTTTTTTTTTTTTTTTTTTTTTTTTTTTTTTAAATCAGCATCAACAGTATTTGTATCTGCTGACTTTTAATTTTTTTCAGTCAAAGTGAAGAACCACTTTAAGATTTTTGAGATTGGAGCAAATATGAGACTGAAGAACCATCACAGTATTAATCACATAAAGGCATGAAATGAGATACCATACAATAAGTATCCTTTGAGGCAAAGAAGACCTTGTAAGTTGGTATACGTCATCTGTAATTCTGTAATAGGTCCCATTAGTATTACCAAGAGTATAATGGAGACCCCTGCTTTTGGTTTTGATGATGTCAGGACCTTAGACTGCTGGAGCATGATTTAGAAGAAGTTGTGGGGACCAGTTTATCAGTATGGACCAGCAGTGGATTAGTTTATTTTCTTTGTCCCAAAACAAGCAGTTAAAGGATAGGTTCACCTTTAGTAACATGTTCCATGTTACAACCATATTTAGGGTGTAACATTACTAAATTACCTGTCGCCACCCTGATCCAATCCCCCATTGTGATAGTGGATGGGGGATCTTTTCCCTGCATCCGCTGTCACAATTCAACAATAGCACGGGCTTGCAGACCTCCTCCCACAGGGCCGTGCCATTCATTCACAAAGTTCTGCGAATGAACGAACTACAACTACCATCTTCCATTGCGGCAGACAGCTTGTAGCTCTCAAGGAACTGTGAGGGCACTAGGGGGCGCTCTGGTAGTTCATTGAGTCTTCCTGGACTCCAGTAACTACCTGCCCATATCAGAGGTATGGGTGGACAGCTATGCTAGTCTGCAGAGGCCGGACATTGCACACATGATCTGCTGATCACGGGTTTACAAGATCCTAAGAAACAAAATGCAGTTTTTTTTTTTTTCCTTACCTGCAAATAAGTGATTTTTATTATTTTTTTTAAAAAAGATGAACTTATCCTTTAACCCTCGCAGTGTGGGTGCAGCTCCACCGCAAGGGATCATTTTTAATTTTTTTTGGACTTTAAAATGAGAAGGTAGGTTTTTTGGTAAAAGCAAAATTTTATACAATTCTTATGATAAAAAAAAAAATTATTTTCCTGCTAGCAATCATATAACATCACACAGCACTGATGAGGAAGGAGTGGATGCAAGAAGCTTGGATCAAAAAGAAAAAGCCTTTGTGATCCTGAGGTAAAACTGGCATATACAGTATATGGAACATATATGAACCCCCCCCCCCCCCCCCCCCCCCATCCTATGTACATGTTCAACACAAGCTACCCTATACTTGGAAAGTAGTTTTCACATACTTAGCTAAAAACCCTTTAAAGACTATAAATCCCTTGTGCCGAACCTGCAGTTTGTGGGCTGCATGTGGCCCTTTGGTACATGATGCGTGGCCCTCGGATCTACAGCAGTTTGTAGTGAGAATATTGATTAAGGTATTAGCACTGATCTCTACTATCCTCATATCATGTTTCAAACTTCATTTCGTCTTCCGCAGCATATCCCCAGCCAAAAATGGCCATGTCCACACTCTCTGACCCTCATTTCCTCTAAGTTCTACAGTCTGGCCCTCTGTGATGTCAGGGCCGCATCTGAGACTCCCTTTAGCTCATATGTCGACAACCACTGGTATAAATTGTCTGTAAACCAAACCTAGCACTTGGGGAGGCTAAAAATCCCTATGGACCCCTCTCTGATGCTTACATTGTCAGTGGGAAACCTTCTCCAGGATTGATTAAAAGTTATTGGCTGATGGATTGGACAGATTCACTTTAAATCTTTGTGCTGCCTACACAGTCACGGCTGTATGAAATTCACAGGTAATCTGATATCCTGTCAGGAAGGATTTTTTTGTGTTTGAAGGATGATCTTTTAAGTTAGGGGAGTCATGTATGTAATCAATATCAGTAGAGTCTCAGTAACAATCTCTGTTTGTTGTCAGGTCTCGTCTGCGTTTCCCATCCAGTAAAATCGCCCCGGTCCTGAGCTCATGTGACGTCCAGGAGAAAATCCTGTACTCCGTCCGGGAGGGCAGCACGGTGAGACCACATAGGACATTACATATATGAAACCGCTCCAGGAGCTTGTTTCCTCATATTACTTCTAAGGTGAAAATATATTCTGTACAGCACTTTATAAGGACTTTTCAGTCACCTATGCCAAAACTTTTCTGGGAATTTATTTTAATGGAGATAGAGGCATAACTAGAATCTTCAGTGTCCCAGTGCAAGCAACAATAAAGGGCCCCCCTGACCCCCAGCTGGGGCCCCCGTCTGTGGCAGAACACCAGGGTCCAGGCGTTAGTGTGACCTTTGTGACCCTGGTACTTCTGCCACTGGTATCAATAATTTTTGTTAATATACAATTTTTTGTATAAATTTATTTTTTTTTATTATTTTTTTTAAATTTTTATTTTTTTTTACAGGCCTTCAGTTTGGGCACTGGTGACCTAGACTTTCAAC